CTTGTATTGGAGGGTCTCGGCTCTTCGGATCTCTCCTGCCACGTTGGCGGCGGGGTCATACTCCGACCGCGACGGCCAATGGCAAGTATCGGCAGAAGCATAAAACACTCGGAGGTCCGCGCGCACTTGTTAGATTGGCGCCGGACTCCCCTCTCTAGTGCGCTCCGCGCGCTAAGGAGGGGCGCGCCGACTTGAGAAATCCGAGCCGATTTGAGAAATCCGAGCGGGCCTCCGAATGTCTGATGCTTTGCCGCCAAGGGGGCCCCGATACTTCTTCTGCCTCGAGGCCGGGGCGCAGGCATCACGCCCCAGGAAGGCCAGGCGGCGCGAGCTGGTGCGGCGGGTACCCCGCGGTCCAGCAGCCCTTTTTCCCAGGGGTCGACCCAGACCGTGTTCTTCATTTTCGTGCTGTCCTTCCTCGTTTCGGCTTCGCTGCGCATCTGTGCTGCAAGACGAGATCGAAGCGAGAACGGCCCACGAACTTGCCAAAACAGTGGGACACCCAGAATGGGTACGACCAACATGGGCACGATGCCGAACGACACACGATGTCCAAAGCTGACGGCGGCCGCTGTCGGGCAAGTGGCCTTCCGTCTCAAATGGACAACGTCCGCGGCGACACCGACAGCGCCTGGTTCAAAACGAGAATGACATTATGTCGGTAATTGATGGGGAAAGTCCGAGGCCGCGCTGCCGGCGATGCTGGTCAACGGCGATGTTGGGAATCTGATGCTTGTGACACCGAGCTCGCGCAGAACAACTTGTAGGAACTCACGAGCCACACTTTCCTACATTTCAAATGTGCGAATGTGTCGAGCGAGAAGGACGCAGCGAAGTGTAGGAAAGCACGAGCCACGATGTCCTACCAATTGGTTTGGCCACGAACCAGTACCACCTACAATGCCGAAGCCTACATCGCCGTTACCTACATTGCCGTTAGCGCGTCTACGGACACTAATCGGTACTGATACCGCTACTCCCCCGACCTCTCACGCTGACTCTGAGCAGAATTTCGAGGCGAACTCAGCGGTGGCGACGAGGGCCTCCTAGGAGGCCGAAGACGGCGAGAACGAGACAGGGGCAGCGGTATCGGCACCATGTCCTCCTCTGATAATTACCAGCCTGGAACATACCCCTATCCTTATGCTGGGCATCTCCTCATCACGATGCCAATCTTAGGGATTCCCTCATCTTTTGAGGGCGCACCCCTAAGATTGTCGTCACCTTTTGGCGTGTCAATCTTAGGGATAGGGATACGTTCGAGGCTGGTAAGATACCTGTGCCCATTCTTTCCGAACCAGCTTCGATCGCACCGAAAACAAAAACACCGCTCTGGTCGATCCCCGCCTTCTCCTCGCGGCGAAGGGCCGCCCAGCAGCGCGGCCCGGCCTCCGACCAGAGCACGCCCGCCAGGATGAGAGCGCAGCCGCAGAGCTCGTGGGGGCCCAGGCGCTCGGAGAGCACCGCCGCGGCGGAGAGGGCGCCGAAGACGGGCTCGAGCGCGAAGAGCGCAGAAGGGCCCGAGCAGCGGCAGACGGCCGAGGCTGACCAGAGGGGGCACGCGGAGAGGCCACGGGGCACTCCCGAGGGCCACGCTGCCCCGGGAGTGCAGGAGGCATGGGCCACGAAACGCGGGGCATCCACGGGCACTCGACCTGCTCATCAGCCTCGACCGTCAGAATCAACTCTCTTTCTCTCGGGGGACATCTGATGAGATGATACGCGTATCATTGTTTTGGTACCCGAACGGATTTGTGGAATTGGCACTGGAGCCCCCTGGCGGCGCCTCCGGCGCCGCCCCTGGCGCGCTCCGTGCGATCCAAGAAATCAGCGGGGACCTCCGAAGGCTTATGTTCATGGCATTACTTGTTCCCCGATTCTGTGGCACGGAAAAAGCGGGTCCCTGAGGGAGACGGGTCCTGCTTTCACGGAAGGGACGGGTCCGGCCGCGCATTCCCCCATAGAATTGTTGTGTTCATCCCGGGTCGCTTCTTGCACGATCCTGGAGGGAGGCCAGGAGCCCGTGGAAAACCTCGGAACCCCTTCTCTCCACAGTGGCTTCTGGGATCCGTGCGGGCTCCCTCGGACGGCGCCGGCTCCCCTCTTGCCGCCACCTCTGGCGGCGCCTGCACGCGCCGCCGTCTGCGCGCTCCGCGTGCCAGGGGTCCAGAGCACGCCCTGAGAAACCCGCGTGGGCCTCCGAGAGAGTATGTTTGTGCCGATCGCTGCCCTTCTAAATGAGGGCGCTGCGGACTGGCAAGACCTCGGCCTGGAACCTGAAATGCAGGAGGGTGGCAATCACCGTCGCGAAGAGGGCGCAGTAGATGAGGGAACCCACAACGACCATGTCGCTCCAGTCGAAGCTCCACTCCTCCACGAGCGGGCCCACCACGAGAGATGCGGCGGCCACGGTGACGATCTGGCCCGTCACGAAGGACAGGCTGCCAAACCTGGACAGGTGGCGCTGGAGCAGCACGAGGTAGAGCGCGTGATCAAAGGCGCACGCGAGGGTCCACAGGTCCCCCGAAGACGCCTGATCCCAGGCTCCGGAGCTGCCGTGGGCAAGACCCGCAAGCAGGTACATGCCAACAAGTGCGATTGCAGCCCCAGCACCTTGAAAAACGCTGAGCCTGCTCTTCCGGATCAGCGCGTCCAAAAACGGCACCATCACCACGTTCGTGCCGGTGATGAAGCCGCTCTTGGCAGCCGACGTTGTCTGCATGCCGATCGTCTGAAATATAGCCGCCACCGCGCTTGCAGCGGCTGGTGTGCGTCGGGCCCTTTTTCGCGCTCTACGAAACAAGAGCTATCGGTCCCCCCCGACGCATTGAGCCCAAGATGCGCTCATTTCGTGTGGCCGAGTCTCCGTGCTGTGGCCTTCCCGACAGAAGCGTTTCCAAGTGGCAAGCTTGGGGAAGGCAGGCTCCATGGACCCTGACCCCATGCCCCCCCCCCAGAGAATATATATATATATATATACACATGAAAGGCCCCCCCCCTAAACCCTAAACCCTAAACCCCAAACCCTGCGCGGCGGCGGACTCGCGCGGTAGCGCAACTGGGTAGACACTGAAGTTCAGGAGCCCCAGCCCCACGGAGGGAAGGATCAGTGCCCGCCCGTCTCGCCACATGCCCCTGGCCGCGAGCGGCAGCAGCACCGCCGCGGCCACCACGAACCGAACCCCCACGAAGGAAAAAGGCGACGCCCCGCAGCCCATGGCGGCTCGGATGAACGGGAAGGTCAGGCCCCACATCGCCGACACCGCGACCAGCCACGCCTCCGCGCTGACCACCGCCATGATGGCGGGCAGGGCCAGTGGCTGGGGGCAACGCGGCTTGGCGGTCGGCTCCTCCGCTGCCTGCTCGAGCCAAAAAAAGGTTTGAGCCAAGACGGCTGCGAACCATCGAGACACATTCGCGGGTCACAGGAAACCATCCTAACGCATGTCAAACGCAAATGTCATGTACACATCATGTACATCGAACGTGACGCAAATGATCGAATCCAGTGCACTAACTGTGCGCTCCGTCTGCGGATCGATTAGATACCAGCCCTTCGTTCAGAGAGAGCTCAAGGCGTTCCATGGCCGAGAAACAACATGATAACCAAGCATGAACCACATGAGATGAACCACGGCGGAAATTCCACGCGTGTGCGAACGGCAGAGTACATAGATGATGTGGCCCCGTCGTGCCCAGGCGCTGGTGCATCAAAGCGCACATGGCACAGTGAATCAGGCGTGGACCGAGCCTGCAGCAATACCACCACACATGTTTCTGTCCGAGATGCGATCTGGGCTGGATCAAATTCGTAACACGTGTAGTGCACCCCATCGAGCCCAAAGGTCCATGTGAGCCTGCAGGTTTGCTCCCCAAGCACTGCCTGCGCTGAGTGGTTTCTTACTGGCGCTGTAATGAGATGGCCCTGTGCGAGGGAGTCCGACGGTGGCCGCTGTGGGTTGCCGCACGCCTTTCATGGCATTGCACACGCGCGGGCGCCCATGCCCTTTTGGGTCCACATGCACGGATTTGAGCACGCATGGGGTCCCACTGCACGGGCTTGCATACGCGTGGGGTTCCACGCGCGTGGGGTTCCGCATGGAACGAACTCTCTTGTACACAATCGTCCGCGCAAGGGCGGTTACATTTTTTTTGGTCGGCGGGTCGAGAGCGGGCCTCTTCCGGTTAAGAGCTAGGCGGGGCGCGCGAAGCACTAATTGGGGAGACAGGGCGCGGGCAGGCGGGGCCTCAAAAAACTTCGAGCAGGGGCGGTTACACACATGGGGTTCCAAACGCATGGCACATGCGGCGCCACGCGCACGGGTGCATACACCCACCGGGCTCCACACGAGTGACCACATGGCTCCCCACGGATGAAGCCACGGCCACACAAGGCCCCTCAAACAATGCATTCAATGCGCATGGGGCCCGTTACGCATCGGGTTCCGCAAGCGTCGGGGTCCACACGCCTGGGGCTCCACGCCCATGGGACTCTACACGCATGGGGATGCACGCGGACAGATCTTCACAGACATAGGGTTCCACGTACATCTACGGCTGCATGCACGCACACACGCGCATACTTGCGGCTCCACACGAACGGGATCCCACCCGCAAGTTTACACACACACAAAGTCCGCACATACAACTTCTTCACACATACGGTTCTACTCACATAGTGTTCCGCGCACACACACAAACATCAAGCGTCACACAGGCACGATATTCCGCACAAACGGGACCACTCACGTACGGCTCCACGCACATAAGGTGCCACGCACACAAGGATCCTCAAATGGAAGACAGCACTGTCAACATGCTGATGTTTGCCCTCACCCACTACCTGCGCTCCCTCCCAGCCGGCGCAACGCTTGCCGCCTCCCCCTCCCCGCCCACCCCCCTCCCCCTTCCCTCCCTCCCTCCGTTCTCCTCCGTCTCCTCCCTCCCTCCCCCCCCCCTTGCCTCCCTCCCTCCCCCCGTCCCTCCCCCTCCCTCCACGCCTTGGCGATGGTCTTGATCGCCCGCGAGCAGCCCGTGCTCTTGTGCTTGCCCATGCGGACCGCGCCTCGTGGCAGGCCGCGGCCGCCGCCGACGCCGCGGGCGCCGCCATGACCGCCGTGACGTTCGGGGCAGCGGCTGCGTTCGAAGACGCCGTCGTGGCAGCGGCGCGGGGGGGGAGGGGGATCGCAGCGGGAAGGAGGGCAGGGGTGGGGGATAGCAGAAGGGGAGACACGGGGTCCTCATCCTCCCCCTCATCCTCCTGCGCTCGTGCAGCGCCCTCCCCCACCTCCTCCTCCTCCTCCTCCTCCTCCTCCTCCTCCTCCTCCTCCCCTCCTCCTCCTCCTCCTCCTCCTCGCCCATCTCGAGCGTGATCGCTACCTCATCCTCCTCCTACTCCTCTTCCTCGTACACCTCGAGCTTGATCGCTACCTTGGCCCCTGCCTCCTCCTCTTCCTCCTAGTCCTCGTCCTGCTCCTCCTCCTCCTCCTGCCCCTCCTGCTCCTCCTCCTCTTCCTCATCCGCCTCGTCCTCCTCGAGCATGCTCGCTACTACATTGGCCATCGTTCCTCATCCTTCTCCTCCTCCCCCTCCTCCTCCTCCTCCTCCTCCTCCTTTTTCTGCTCCTCCTCCCCCTCTTCGTCCACCTCGAGCTTGCTCACTACGTTGGCCATCTCCTCCTCCTCCTCCTCCTCCTCCTCCTCCTCCGCCTCCTCCCCGTCACCGTCATCGTTGTCGTCCACCTCGAGCTTGATCACCACCGTGGCCATCTCCTTCTCCTCCTCCTCCGCCTCCACAGTTACACCATATAAATACTACTCTCCTCTATCCCCCGGTGACGTCAAGGAAATGGCCGGCCCCCCTTCGCGTGCTGCTTGATCACTCACAGGATTCCGGGGAAACGAATTTTCTCTAGGGTTGTTTTTCAAAATCCTGCTCTCGCTGAAGCGCTGGCTTCTTTTTCGGGCCACCGCTCGTTCCGAATCGTGCTCCCGCTGCAACGCTGGCCTCATTTTCGCCCTTCCGCTCGTTCCGAATCGTGATCCCGCTGCACCGCTGGAGTCATTATATCCAGCGCCATGCCACGGAATGGTTTGCGGTCCTTCCAAATAGGCTCCAAAATCTAGAAAACGACCCCACGAAAAATCATCGGAAGTGATTAGACATTCGGTCCCGATTCGTTGAGTTTTTGGGTCGCAGAAGCCTCCCACCCCCCCAAGTTGAGGCGTCGCCACGCCATGCTATGTCAAACTCCGCGTCCTCCGAATCGTGCTCACGCTGCAGCGATGACTTCCGCTCGTTCCGAATCGTGCTACCGCTGCAGCGCTGGCGTCATTATTTCCAGTGCCATGCCACAGCATGGTTTCGGTCCTTCCAAATCGGCCCCAAAATCTAGAAGATGGCCCCCCCGAAGAAACCATCGGAAGTGATTCCACATTCGGTGTCGGTTCGTTGTTTTTTTTGCCGCAGAAGCCCCCCCCTCTCTGGGGCGTCGCCACGCCATGCTGTCATGCTACGAGTTGATCTTCAACGCCATGCTATACCATGTAATGCTATGCCATACTACGACGTCCGATTGTGCGAATAGAGAAGAGATCTACGCCATGGTAAGGGATGAGAGGGAGGGATATAACGTCAGATACGACGCGAGCGCAACTAGCTTGTCCTCCTCCTCCTCCTCCTCCTCGTCCTTGTTCTCCTGCTCTCCGCCTCCTCCTCCTCCTCCTCCTCCTCATCATCATCATCATCAGCAGCAGCAGCAGCAGCAGCAGCATCGTCCTCCTCATCCTGATCCTCGTCTTCATCCTCATCCCCACCCTAATCCTACGTCATACGTTCTCATCCCCATCCTCATCAGCATCATCCTCATCCGCATCATCATCCCCGTCGTCATCAATATCATCCTCCTCCTCCTCATCATCATCATCACCAGCATATTCATCAGCAGCATCATCGTCATCATCAGCATCATCAGCATCATCATCATCCCAAGCAACACTCATCATCAGCAGCATCAGCAGCACATCAGCAGCATCAGCATCAGCATCACCATCCTCGTCAGCATCCTCATCCTCATCCTCATCATCATCATCATCATCATCAGCATCATCATCGTCAGTAGCATCAGCATCATCATCACCATCATCAGCAACAGCATCGTCCTCATCATCGTCCTCTTCCTCCTCCTCCTCCTCCTCCTCATCATCAGCATCATCATCATCATCATCGGCATCGGCATCACCATCGCCATCGTCATCGTCATCATCATCAACATCATCAGCATCATCACCATCATCAACAACACCATCATCGTCTTCATTAGCATCATCATCACCATCATCCTCGTCCGTCTCGAGCTTGCTCGCTACGGTGGCCTCCTCCTCCTCCTCCTCCTCCTCCTCCTCCTCGTGCACCTCGAGCGTGATCGCTACCTTGGCCATCTCCTCCTCCTCCTCCTCCTCCGCCTCCTCCTCCTCCTCCTCCGCCCCCTCCTCGTCCCTCATCCACATCCTCCTGCTCCCCTCCTACTCGTCGTCAAACTCGAGCTTGTTCACTACCTTGGCCACCTCCACATCCTCGTTCTCCCCCTCAGCAACCCCATTTCCCTCGTAACCATGAAGCTTGATCGCTACATTGGTCGGCTCCTCCTCATCCCGCCATCCGCCTCCGCCTCCTCCTCCTCCTCCTCATCCTCCTCATCCTCGAGCTTAGTCGATACCTTGACCATCGCCCCACCATCCTGCTCCTCCTGCTCTTCCTCCTCCGCCTCCACCTCCTCCTCCTCCTCATCCTCCTCGTCCTCCTGCCCCTCCTGTGCCTCCTCCTCCTTCTCCTCCTCCTCCCTCCTCCTCCCCCTCCTCCTCCTCCTCCTGCTCCTCCTCCTCCCCCTCCTCCTCCGTCCTCCTCCTCACCGTCGTACACCTCGAGCGTGCTCGCTACCGTGGCCATCTCCTCCCCCTCCTCCTCCTCCTCCTCCTCCTCCGCCTCATCCACTTCGTCCTCATTATCATCCTCCTCCTCCGCATTCTCCTCCTCCTCCTCCTCTTCATCCTCCTCCACCTCCGCCTCCGCCTCGTCCTCGTCCTCCTCCTTCTCCTCCTACTCACCCTCCCCGTCCACCTCGAACTTGCTCGCTACCTCCGCCATCCCGTCCTCCTCCTCCTCCTCCTTCTCCCCCTCATCACTATCACACTCCTGAGAATAGATCTTAACCGTGAAGCTTGACACTACGCTATGCCACTACGCTAACGTCACGCTAACCGCAGGGTAGTGTCATAGCGTAGTGTCACGCTCGGGTGTCCCCAACACTACGCTATGACACTACACTACGCTACGGGCAGCGTAGTGTCATGTAGTGCCACGCCCGTGTGTCCCCAGCACCACGCTATGACACGCTAGCCATCGCGCAGTGTCATAGCGTAGTGCCACGCCCAAGTGCCCCCAACACCACGCTATGACACTACGCTACCCGTAACGTAATGGCATAGCGTAGTGGCATACCCACGTGTCCCCAATACTACGCTATGCCACCAAACTAACCACAACGCAACATCCTGTCACGGAGCAACATCCAGCGGTGTAACACCCTAAGGACAAGCACTGCCAACCAACAACAAACAAACTCAGCTGCAGCGTAGGGTCATAGCGTAATGTCTTGCCCACGTGTCCCCAACACCACGCTGCGCCACTACGCTAACCGTAGTGTAGTCGCATAACGTAGTGTCACGCCCGAATGTCCCCAACACTACGCTATGTCACCCTGCTAACGGTAGCGTAGTGTCCTCTCTCACGGAACAGGGTCAACCAAAACCGTAAGGGCACCCAACCGAACAACACACCTATTGATTCCCCCCCGCTCAACCGTAGCGTAGTGTCATAGCGACGTGTCACGCGCAAGTGTCCCCAACACTACGCTATGACACTACGCTAACGGTAGCGCATTGCCCTCTCTCACGGAGCAGAATCAAGCAACACCGCAAAAAACAACAAATGAACACCAACCACGAGTCCTTCTCCCCCGCCTCAACCGTAGCGTAGTGTCATAACGTAGTGTCACGCCCAAATACCCCCAACACTACACTATGCCACTGCGCCAATTGTATCGTAGTGCTCTCTCTCACGGAACCGCGTCAACCAACATCCTAAGGCAACGCAGCCGTAACAAACACGATTCGTCCTCCCCCGCCTCAACCGTAGCGTAGTGCCATAGCGCAATGTCACGCCCACATGTCCCCAAACACTACGCTATGCCACTACGCTAACGGTAGAGTAGTGTCCTCTCTCACGGAGCATAATCAAGCAACACCACACGGACCAACACACGAACCAACAGCGATTGTTTCGCCCCCGCCTCAACCGTAGCGTAGTGTCATATCGTAGTGTCACGCCCAAATGTCCCCAACACTACGCTATGCCACTACGCCAATTGTATCGCAATGCCCCCTCTCACGGAGCAGAGTCGAACAACATCCTACGGAAAAACAACCGAAACATACACGATTCCTTCTCCCCCGCCTCAACCGTAGCGTAGTGCCATAGCGTAGTGTCACGCCAAGGTGCCCCCAACACTGATTGATGACACTACACTAACGGTAGAGAAGTGTCCTCTCTCACGGAGAAGGGTCAAGCAACGTCCTATGGAAAGGCAAACAAACACATAACGAGTCCCTCTCTCCCGCCTCAACAGTAGCGTAGTACCATAGCGTAGTGTCACGCTCAACTGCCCGCAACACTACATTATGACACTACGCGAACCGTAGCGTAGTGTCATAGCGTAGTGACATGCCCAAATGTCCCCATCACTACGATATGCCACTACGCTAAACGTAGCGTGCTGCCATAACGTAGTGACACGCCCAAATCCCCCCCAACACTACGCTATGCCACTACGCTATCCGTAGCGTGCTGTCATAACGTAATGTCACGACCAAGTGCCCCCATCACTACGCTATGCCACTACGCTAACCGTGGCGTGCTGCCATAGCGTAGTGTCACGCCCACGTGCCCCCAGCACTACGCTATGCCACTACGCTAGCTGTAGCGTAGTGCCACGCCCAAATGCACCCC